CAGAGCTTTTATTCTACAACTCAATGTTTAGGAATATAGAAAAACTGCAATTACCAAAACAGATGGCCATTTAAAGGTTCAATTGTATGATAGCTTATGTAGTGGAAGATATTTTGGGAGTGACTGTTAAGTCAATGTACATGTGATAATCTAGTCTGTTTGTTTTACCAAGCAGATACTCGCTACCTGTTTTTTTTTTAAAGCAATAGCTTATGCATTGTAAGTTTACCAAGTAGTATAAAGTTATATGTCTTCATTTCCCCAAATTAGCATCTCTCCATTTGGTCAAGAAAATGAAGGGAAATACCGTAGTTGCTTCGCCTAGGTACACATGGCTTCCAAAGAGCATCATCTGGCTCCAGCAGAAATCTCCAGGTCTGAAGATGCCTCACATGTGGAGTGCAGAATGCCTCATCATCTTGGTCTTTGAATTTCAAAATGATAATGTTTTTGCAAAAACTCTTTGGTCACTTCCCATGGATTTGAAAAGTGTCTTGCTTGAAATGGATGAAGAAAAAGGTGGGGAGTGTGAAGCAAGTTGTCTCTACTCTAGGAGTTGCCCCCCTCATACAAACATAGATAGGGCCTGAAGCTGCGTTTGCTGGAGTGAGACCATGGGGCATTTGCCTTATAGGAGGGGCTTTAGATCTCTGTATCACAAACCATCAACTAATTTTTGGGCACACAAATGTGGCTGCTTATTGTAGCTCCAATGAAAGGGCATGGGAGTGGAGGATATTGCTAATTATACCGAGCCTGCCTGCATTGCAAGTGTCAGATGATTTGATAGGACTGACATGCAGCCAAATGGAATAGGAAAAGACATTGCAGTGGACTGTTGGTCCATTAGTTTGCTCAGGCAGCTTGTTTTACTAAGGAGCCCTCTAATGGTTTCTGGGCAATAATTACTCTCTCTCTTCTTCATGCTATTCAACATGACAGGCATTTGCTGAAGTCGCAGCTAATATATTTGCACTCTAACTGGCCCCAGTGACGAGTTTCCTTGAGTGTGTTTGGCTGGGAAATGAATGATGGTCATGTTTTTTTTTCTTTGAGAACATTTCTCTAATGTAGAAGACAGTCATTTTATTTTGCATACTAAGCAGGCGTGTGGCATAACATGAATGCTGCTGAAAAAATTGATGCATTAGCTGTGGACTGCCCATGCCGTGTCTCCTATTTTAGGGGTTGATGGTATTGAAATTAAATGCAAAACTTTCATGGGCTGTTGTACTTATGTAGTGATAACTGTAGACTCAAGCCAAACTAAGGAAGAATATATAGAAATGAACCTCAGACAACTATCTTGAAACTATACAGAAGATTATTCCTTTGTTTCAGCAGACTTATATTTGGGAGGTAGTATGTATTCTTTTTGTGTTTCTGTTTCCACTTAAAGTGGGTGTCTTAAAATAAAATATATATTAGCTTCCCCCCCATTGTTTTCTCATTCACTTCTTTGTGAAGTGTGGTCAGTTTTGCTTATCACCTTATGTTCCCTTCAAAAGTCACTTGAAACTTCCTAGATTAGTAGTTAAGGTTTTATGAATGACCTTGAATTCTTTTGAAGTTCTCCAATAAAGTTTGTTTGTTAACGTTCTGCATTTAAAGGTAATGAATATCTTGATTATCAATACTGTGATCCTTGTTTTCGCTAAAAATTTTGGAGGATTTAAAGATTAATAAAAAGCCTTACATGAGAAAATAAAGGGGAAAGAGAAAAATAGAGAAATACAGCAAATTATGTAGAGCAGCAATTTTCAGTCTTTCATCTCATGGCACACATAAACTAATTACTAAAATTCTGCAGCATGCCCCAAAAATACAATATTTTTTGCCGATCTGACAAAAAGGAGATACAATTTTGATTCATTCACGTAGGACAGCTATTGTGTTGGCTGTAGTCATTTTTTAATTTCACAGTATAAGGGAAAAGAAGTCAGTGCCCCTTACTAAATAGTCAGGTATTGCATGTTTTAGAAATTCTTGTGGCACACTGGTTGAAAATTGCTGGAGTAGAAGATATGTCTAGGATTCTGAAGTCATTTTTACATTTGTATATATCTGTGGGGAGATAATTACAATCAGTTTTTTGGTTTTCTTTCATCTAGTCAGGTCTCAGGCCTCTAGTATATTGAATATAACCACTTCTTTTGGGGGAGGATGAGAAAACATTAGCAACAACTTGATTTTAGACAATTATTTTTCCCTTCTGCTTCTAAAACATAATGTAGCTGCCTGATAGAAAAGCCTCTTACTTTTTTGTATATCAGAAAGAAGAGAAAGAAAGCTATCTTAGAAACATATTTAAAGCACATGATGAAAATGAAAGGTTTATAAAAAACCTTTTAGAATCTATTTTCTTTGTGCCAGGTACCAGATGTTGATGTTGGCAGTGCTTAAGAGGGTCACAGGGCATTTAAAATCACTAGGCTGTGGGGAATGAAATTCCATGTCTGTTGTACTGAAGATTATTTAAAACTTGTGTTTATCTAGCAGTAACAGTACAAAAGTACTTTTCCTATGTGAGCCCCTCTTAAATAGGTACCCTAGAAATACATGATTAATTAAATTGCTGCAAAATATATTTTTGTTCCTGGGACTCTTTTAGCATTATTAAAGTCACTGGTTCCATTTAAGACTTTATTTTTCAATGTGGAAAGCAGATAGCTTTCAACCTTGCTAGACATGATTGGCCTTAAGATTGAGCCATCCATTTCAAAGTAAAAGATGGAGGTTTTGCTGCTTGTTTATTATACACATGCAGAAAAGGCACATGTACCATATTTAAATATTTCCTATGTATCCTCTAGAAGTAATAAGTTTTCAAAAAAAAAAACAAAAACAAAGAAACAAAAGCAGGACCTGTTGGTCCCCTCTATGTAGTTTCTTCTTTGGGTGAGCCCAAGTTCCTTTTCTCATTGATAGGATTGTAGGGGAGGAATAAGTTTTCCTTGAGCCTCTTAGGATCTCTGTCTGGGTCTGAAAATTAAACTGATAAAAACAGGTTAATAAGAGAAAAGCATACAGATTTATTTGATAAAAGTTTTACCTGACATAGGAGCATTCATAAGGAAATGAAGACCCAAAGAAACAGTTAGGCCTGATTATTTTATGCTAGGTTTGATGAAGGGTACACAGTTGTGGGGTACACAGTAGTGAAGAAGGGTGCACATAGGCATATGATAGGTGCAGGAATATGAAGTAATTGTAGTGACCTGGGGGAAGAGTCACTTGCGTGTGCTAGCATTCTTTTCTGTATCCCTTTGTCTTCAGAGATGAGATGTCCCTTTCCTCTGTGTATAAGTAGGGCTCCTGGAATAGGAAGGTTTTATGGTCTGTTTCAGGGAGGATGGGCTAGGGCAAAGTCCAAGTGACCTTCCTGCTTCTGCCATTTTCTCCTTCATGTTAAGCTATTCAGTATGCCAGGGTGCTTCATTTTGATGTCCTGTGGGGTTAGTGGTTTCCATGCAAAAATGGGACTTTAGAAAAGTTCTGGAAAACAAAACTGATTTTCATGTTCTCTTGAGAGTACCACTTTGTGTTCATTATAGATTATTGTTTCTTCTGGCACTTCAAGTCAGACAGTGATCTTACTGAGCTTTTCCAAAGGTTTTAAAAGGACAGTTTGTTATAGTTATCTTTTAAGATTATACTCAAGAAAATTTATTTATAAATACAGTGAAATTAATTTTTATAGGCTATAATTCCCTTGTCCATCTGAAGGAATTAGATTCTCTTTTTCTGTAGAAAAGGAAATATTTCAAATAGTCTTGCTATCAGGGAAAAATATTGGGAGGAGATAAGCCCGTGTGTCATCAGTTGTTGCCTCTGGATACTGAGATTATGACTAATTCTGTCTTTTTGTGCTTTTGTACACTTTTAAGATTTTCTAAAGCTAGAGTATATCGCTTGCACAATCAGATGAAGGAAATACATATGTGTATTTTAGCTGAGGCTGATACACCTAAAGAGTCAAACATTGCCTGTTATAACAGCAGATCCTGGAACCTTGGTTCTAGACAATAAAAAAGCAAAGCCAAGTTGATGTTTGTATAGCTTTCAGAGCCACCTGCCATTTGAACTGGTGGTACAGTCGCAGCCCACCTTCTTACTGGGTTTTCTGGTGACCAATGGAAGCAATTGTATTTATAACTTAAGTGGCAGAAAAGGCTCAATATTGTTGCTTTTAATGCCACATGGTTCTTTATCTTCTTCCTCCCATGTATATGTCCTGTGGATATATCTTTATTATAGGTATAGTGGTCATTTAGTGTATTTGTGCAGTGGAAATGGACTTATAGGGTTATGTGGAGAATCATGGGTGTAATTATGGAATTTCCTGTATCATATCTGTGTAGTTTAGTGGAAAATGCAAAATGAATACTGCCTGCTAGGTGGATACATTTAGGATTACCTCGTAATTCATAAAGTCCTTATTATAGTTTTTAATGTTACTTTCAGTTGGAAGAATTTCTTTAAACCATAGCATTTTATAGTTACTTGGAAAAGTTGCATAGAAGACTAGTGTTTGGACTCAGAAGACTGTTTTGTTACTTTTTAAGTGTGATCTTAGGGTAGTATTTTTAACCTCTGAACTTTGTTAACCTCATCTGTAAAATGGGGATACTAATATGCCTTTCCTTAGGGTCCTTGTGGGGATAGAGGAAAGTGTTTGTTTTGTAAATCCATGTATGTTTCATTTATTGAGTAAGCTGCTCTTGGCAAACTAACTAAACTTGAATGGAGGTGATTTGGATCAAACCCCTGACTTCAGAGCCTAGAGCCAAATTGCATTTGTCCATTCTCTTGGAAGAGGGGAGGTCAAAGATGTATGGTTTTAATCTTATTTTTTCTGAGAGGCTGTGCCTATTTTAACCTCAAGCTTTTCTTTAAAAACTTGGAAATAGTTATTCATTTTCTTTTCCTAATTACTTGGCAAAAATTTAGAATTCAAAGAGAGAAACTAGTAACAACCACTTTTTTTTTCACACTTCCAGATCAACAAAAGGAATTCTTGGGTCCTAGAGACCAAAGAAAGAATCAGCAGGAGTGCCCAGGGTGAATTGATGGATTGGAGAGCCTGGCTGGTAATTACTTTCACTGAGCTAAAACATTAACTTAACGCACAGGAGCAGGGTGAGATAAAATCCGGATTTGTGCTTCCTCCTCCCCTCCTTCATGGAGATCCGATGTTTTCCTTCTGGAGACAGCCTTCTCTTGGGTGGGGTAGCCCTCCTTCCTTTCCTTGGCGTGGATGTTCATGCCCTACTGTGGCAGACTAGTTTGGTTTTGGTTGTCCTGGGCAACTATTGGTGGGGATATATAACGAAGTCATCCAGCTTTCAGGGTGACAAGGAACCCAAGTTTTTAAAGGGTTTTCAGCTAAATACCAGATATTTACAGATTTAACACATCTTAGGATTCAAATTCCAAAATTGGCAAGCTTCAGCTTTTGGTCTTTTGTGACACTTAACCTAATGCACACCTTGGGAGGCCAAGAAGGTTTCTTTTTAAAATCAACATATTGATTGTTAATAACTTTCTAGTGTGCCATGCTATGATAGATTGTGAAGCCATAATGTCATTTAGTGACATGATCATTTAATAATGTGTGTTTGCCAGGGGTTGGGAGGGCCACATACATATTTCCAAGTAATTGTCAAGCCATAGAACTTGAGAGCTCATTTAACCTACAATGCTCTCAGTCCCAGCCCTTCTGTTACAAGTGAAGGAATTGGATATTTAGAGAGATGAAAGTAGTTTCAGCTCACTAGAACCAAGAATGGACTTGAACTCAAGTTTTCTGCGTTCAAGTTGTTTGTTACTTTATGGGGATACAAATAGTAGGTACCTTATGGGATTTAGAGAGAATCAAATTTTAAAAATCTATGTTCAGGGTTAGGCACAGAGACAGACATGGAAGAAGACATAATAAAGGAAAGCCACCATCAGTGTCATTATCATTTTACTTTTTATTGTTGCTATCATTACTACCACCACCATGTTTTATAAGATAATCAAACAGTTCTTTGGTATGCACCGTGTTGTAGAAGCCTACCTTTTGCTAATAAATTGAAGCAAGTACTCAACTTGTCATGACTCTACTTAAAGAAAATCTCTAAAATTTTTGATACTTTTGACTTTAGTAGAGACCCACAAAAGACATGGCACAAGATAATTGAATTTACAGTTCTGATTTTGAGTTTTGTACATTTTCGGTATATGTGTTGATTATATTTCTACTAAGATTCATCAGATGTGATTCTGTTGAAGTACATCCTCTGGAAACAGCAGGGATTCTGCATAATAATGTTCATTGTTCAGCAGTATCCTGAACTTCCTTGTTTCTTTAGAGACATCTATGTGGAATATATAATATTTTAAGTATTTAAGTTTCCTAATCCCGTCAACACAGGGCTTTAAGTTGGAAGACTTTAGTTATGAAATCTATTCTGATGCAGTTATTCAAAAGATCTCTGACTTTAAAGGAATTTTTGATGACATAGGAATATACTCACAATATATTAATGGAAGTGGACACAAAGCTGTAAATAGTATGACTCCAACTTTGTGGCATATAAAAAGGTTTGTGTGTGTATATAAATGGAATATGAAATACTGGAAGGAAATATACCAAATGGGTAATAATAGTGTTACCTGTTCTCTGGGTAGATTAATAACAGATTTTTAAAATTTTTGCATGTTTTAACTCTCTTCCAATTACCTGTAACTTACTTCTCATACTTTATATAGATTAAGAAGAAAGAAATTGTCAGTTGTGCCTTAATAAGATAGTTACTGGTTAATGCCATTTTGTGTCACACCAGGTCCAGCTCTGTTTGATGTGCTTGCTCTCTCATAAGCTCTGTAGAAAGAGCATGAGCTTTGGAGTCAAACAGGCTTGGGTTTCCACCCCATTGTCTTCATTAAAGAGCTGGCATTGGTTAAGTTGCTTCTCTTAATCTTAGTTCTCATTACGTTGGGATACCATCTTTTTGCAAGGATTCCTTTCTGTTTTTAGTAATTGAGGTAACATTGATAGCATTAGACAAGTTTCAGGTGTACAACACTATAATTTTGATATCTGCACACATTATAGCATGCTCAAAAGTCTAGTTTCCATCCATCACCATGTAATTGACCCCCTTTACCCATTTTGTTCTTGCCCCTCACTTAACCCTCTTGTAACAAATAATCTGTTGTCTCTATCTGTGATTTTGTTTCTGTTTTGTTTTGTTTGTTCATCTGTTTTTTTTCTATTCCACATCTAAGTGAAATAATAGAATTTAAAACTTTTCCGTCTGACTTATTTCACTTAGAATGATACCCTCAAGATCCATCCATGTTGTTGCAAATGTCAATATTTTATGTTTTTATGGCTGAATAGTATTCTGTTGTCCATAGTTTCTTTATCTGTACAACTATTGATGGACACTTAGGCTGTTTTCATATCTTGGCTATTGTAAATAATCTTCCTTTGTAAGGTTTCTTGATCCTTAAAGTGGCTTGCTCTTGGAGGTGCTCAGTAAATATTAGCTCATCTTCTTCTAACCACTACTCTTACTTCCTAAACCCCTTCACTAAATTCTGCAAGGATCAATTGAGGGAATAAAGGAGCTTGGAAGAAAGTTTTACTGTCATGCTGACATTTCCAGTGGTTTGTCTTTTTAATCATCTCTTTTACTATAAAAGTCTTGGTTCCTTTAAGTCTCACATCCTTGGGAACCAAACTCTTGGCGATCATGAAATGTCTTACCTCAAAGATGAGAAAACTGAGCAAACCAAAATCATGATGAACTCTCTGGAGCAGAGTGTTAGAGCATGCCTCTCCCATAGGATTGGCTTGGGAATGTGCAGTAACAGCATCACCAGTCACCTCTCACTGGCAGTGATGTGGAGGGTGTGGGGAGAGGACTCTGGGGCTGAGGTAGGATTTATAATTGCATGGCCGTCTGGCCTTCTCCAAACATTCTTTTCCCTTGCAGGATTCCTGTCTGTAATTGTCATCAGATGGCTCAGACTCCCCAATGTTTCCGGTATTTCAGTGACTTCTGGAGTGTGTTTTTGAAAAAAAGGGTCATATTTGGCAACCATTACTTATTTGTGTCTGCTCTGTTGTATATAGATGCATGCAGACCAGGCATCTCGAGTACAGAGAAACCAGTCAGATGTACAGTCCTCCTTACCATCTTCTCTTGAGCCTTCCCACTTCCTTGGCTAATTCTTTTCTACCTGCACTGCTTTAAAAGAAAAAAAATAGGTGAGGAAAGATGTACGCAGTAGTCCTATTTTCAACTATAGTCAGCTGTTCTTTTAGTCTCATTAGTTCTGAGGACTTAGAGCATTGCATCCTTTTTGGGTCTGTTAAAGGCCTCACAGAGGTTGAGAGTTGGACAGTGAGTGAACCCTCTGAAGAATGATTTAAAGTCTTGGGCTATCCACTCAGGGAAACAGGCATTTAAGACAGACCCTGAAAATCATCTGATGAAATTTGAATGAGAGAAATGATAGCATTAATTCACAAAGCAGGTGTTTTGTGGAAGAGAACAACCCATAAGCACAGAGGTGGAAAAGGTGTGTGTCCAGGAGGGGCATATGAGGCAGTCTACCTTAAAAATGAGAAAAACTTCACATATTTGCATTCATGTTTTACATAGGGGTTAGCCTAATGATTCCAATTTTAGGATGAATGCTGTCTGTAAAGTTGAGATATAAATGGGATGGCCCTTGCCTTCAAAGATGGTTGCATTTTGAATTTTCCTTCATCATATGCCTATAACTGAATGCAGGACGATATCTTGCATGTTTTTTTTTTAATCAGATAAGCTCCTGTAATTTGACATTGATTGCTTTTCAAGGAAGGGAAAAATTGCCTAAATGAAAAAAGACAGCTAATTTAAAAACCCACCAAAATGGAGTGGTTGATACATCTAAACTTAAAGATGTTTTCCCATGCCCTCATTCCATCTAAGCAGAGACTTAGTAGAAAGGTGAGGTTGAATAGGATTGGTCAACTAGATCATATCGGAAAGCATAAAATTGAAGAGAACTGACACAGTTTCTTCTGATCCATGTTGGTGTCTGAGAAATTGTTTTTTAAAAGCTACTTTGCTCTTTTCTAACTAGTAAAATAGTTCATTGCATTCTGGTGCCCCTGTTTGTATCATGGTAGAGTGTTCATTGAACTTACAGGGACTGAGCTCTAGATAGTGATGTTAACTCTTGACTTCTTTACTTTAAATTGCCCTTTTATAATCAGATTATTTTTAAAAAATGGTTGAGGTAAATACTAATGTCTACCCTAAAAGCTATCTTGCCTATCTCTTCTCAAGTGGCTAGAGTTGGGAGAAAGGAACAGGAAAGTCCTTGATCTTAGCAAGAATAAGAAATATCTCAAGATTAATATTTTAAAAACTCATCATAACAATGTTATTTCGCTTGGTAGTGATTGGTTTAAGTGTGGACATGTGGCTGAGTTTTGGTCAGTAATTAGTAGGAGGAAGTCTTCTAGGAGAAAGTAGTGAAAGTTTCCTATCTGGAATGAAAAACAAACTTCTGCTTGAATTTTGGCTGTGATTCATGGTGAGGCAGTGAGCAAGCATGAGGATGGACACTGCAGTAAGAAAGGCAGAGGCCTTGTCCTTGACACCAAGCACTAGGCTGCTACCTCTGACCACTTGTTCTGTGAGAGAACTCATAATTATTTAAGCTCTTAAAAACTGAATTTTCTCTTACCTGAGGCAAATCTGATTTCTAATAAAATGTCTCTATATTTTGATCATGCCTTTCCTATTATTTTCCCTTCAGACTTGTAAAGTATTTCTTAATCTATAACTGTGAGTATCATTTAAATTATTTTCTGTTTCCAGAGATGAGAGGCATGTACTCCTTTCTGGTGGGACTGAAAACTAGAACTGACGCTCCCCCAAAGAAGTTTATTCCTGCCAGGGAAGTCATCTTGTTGACCATCTCTTTCTCAGCACTGGGAGTCCCTTGGTGAAAGGTTTGATGGTAGAAAGATATGCTTGATAATAAGAGAACAAAGAGGCGTTGCTAAATAGTCTAAAAATACATTCTTATTAATGTG